TGAGTTGAAGCTCATTATTATGATGAATCATTTGTGAAAAATAGAACATCTTGTGGACTAGATCGTCATGGGGACACAAGTGACATTAAGAAAAGTAACAAGTAAAAAAAAGAAAAAGATATATATACAGTACGGAGGCGGCCATTATGATGTATTGTTAAGGGTATTGTGTTCTGTTGTCTGTGCTAGGACTGTGCGTTGTTGTCTGGGGAATGCAGGGAGGGTTGTGTTATGGTAGCCAAAAGGAGTGTAAATATATACTATTTTCTTTCTCTGATTTTAACTAGTTACTAAAATCCTCTTTGAAATTACCTCGAGCGAATGCGCTGTGGCTATTGTTCTCTGAGCGGGTCCATCGGTCTAAAGCAGAGTGAATTCTAGGGCGGCAGTAAAAGGATTTCTAACCAAGGGCGTCCTACGGAGGTGCGCCGGTGAGGATGGGGCCGGGGCGGTGGTCCTCTCCTTCAGATGGACAAACCAAGTAAAAAAGGCCTCTCGTCGTGAGCTATGTCTCTGCGTCTCTGTCTGACTGGATCTTAGCGCTGCTAGGTAGCCTGTCGCCGCTACTTTCCGGCCGTTTCGCGGGAGTCGCTCCCCGGGGGAGGCCCACTCGTCAAAAAACAAAAATGACAGGTCAGGGTGCACGTGTGTGATATAAGAACATGGCGCCCGCCTCTCGTTATTGTCTATCTGTTTGCATTCTCATTTCTTTTCTCGACAAAGGGTGTGATTTTTTGACTAGGGGGGGAGGGTGACTGATGGTAAGTGCGGTCGTCCATTTCGCATGGAAGAAAACAAGCTTAAAACGACACAATTTGCGATGTTCTCAGATTAGGGGTCTTACATTGGTGTAACTACCCAGTTGTCTGTTTGGTTGAAGGGCAGCTCTAACGCGACGCGAGTCCGCTAGTGAAGGCAGTCCGTTGTGAGTTAATGCATAAACTTTTTTTGGTTTGGTTTTACTAACTTTTTTATACACAGATGTGACTTGCTGCACTCCAAAGATCATTCCACTGAGCTACATACCTCTAGATCACTAGGACTAGGACTATTGAACACTCACTGTTGTGCGGCCAGTATATGTCTGATCTGATGGCTTGTGTCGACTTGTAGACGTAATCTGAGGGGTTGCCTGAGTCAAAGGCGCCACCTAAACGAGAATGACCATGCTTTTTCTCCCTTTTTTCATAAAGTACATCTTTGTTTAACTACATATTTTTATTAGTCTAAGAACGTAGGCGGTATACAACAAGGATCTAGAATTTTTTTCTTCAGTACATATATATATACTTTTCCTCTCCGAGACAAGTGTTTTGCATTAGCCGACTGGCGAAGATATCACAGGATTTAAGAATTGTTTTGAAGGAAGAACATGTATGTGTGTGTGTGCCACGCTCACAGTATTAGAAAAATTAAGTTTGAAGTTTTTTCTTTTTTAACAAGAAAATGACAGTCTTGTGGGCGGCAAATCAATGGGTCAGCCTTCTTCTAAACAAGTATGAGAAATATGCATGACACTGGCCCAGCTCTAACCTTGTCCGTTAAAGTTAAGCCTATCCCTTGGCCTATTCTGCAGATGACCCAGGTTTCTATTTGTTTGACCCACCCTACATTCGGATCCAGACTTCCGTTTGTTTGACCTAATCTAACTGAACGGTGACCCTGCTAACTGACATATCCTTCAGCAGATGACTCAAACTTTATAACGTCTGGATTATTCCCTCGTACATGACCACACTCGCAATTGACCTGTCATAAACTCCTAGACAACGATTCCTCTGCTCAGGTCACGATGGCCAGGTAAGTGATGCTGTCAGTCGGGATATGTGATGAGGGTAGAAAAAGGAGCAAGTGTGATAACTACTAAATGCGTCAATCCATCACTGACCTGCCATCGGTGGCCAGGTGTCATTACAGTGCTACAACAACAAGTCAGCATTGACTCTATTCATGATTTTTCTTCCACCCAGTTGTTATCAATGTCATTTCATTAGCTCCATCTTATCGCCTGGCTTCGCTTCTGGAGCTCCTCCATTTCCTAGACGCCACCATCCCTCGTCATTACCAGTACCATACACTACCACTACGCCATTCAGTTCAACTCAATGCTATTTATCTCGTAGAAGCAATCACAAGATATCTAATGTATATTTCTTCCTGTACACTGATTACTGACATACCTAATACTCTGTAATTAAAGAATCGAACTTACAAACATTTAAAAAGATACATGCTTAATTATGCTTATCTAAAGAACGTTCACAACTATGACGAAATCTCTATCAGCAAATACTGTACTGTTTTTCGTGATTTGTAAGCTACAGTTAAAGAGTTAACACAATTTCAGAGTGAATTGAACAGGCATAAAAGTACTTTTCTGTTCTACTTACAACAGACAGT